AGGATTTGCGTGAGGCAAAGGAAATTGTTATCAGACGAGGCAGAAGCGCCTACTACTGGCAAGATCAGAGGACGCGCATATGCTTCGTCTCCCACTGGAAGTGTCCGCTCCCGTTGCAGCAAATTATTATTATGCACATTATTCCTACACTATCTCAGTATAAGCACAAAAAGTGCGGTTACTGATCATTATTCATGCACTTCTCGAAAACTCGAGAACTCATTGATCAAAGCAGCAACTCTGGGCACCATCCTTCTTTCAACCTCTGTGTATGGCAACGCATTGCGTAAAGAAGATCTCTAAAAAGTTTGAAAATCAGCTCGAGCGAGGCTGTGATACGACATCATGTCACACGGCACCACGTGGCCGAAAGATGTGTGGCATGGCATCACGCCACGCGGCTGTCAACGTGTTACTATTGAATTTGAATGCTTTTTTTTGTGAAAGGCTATTACAATTGCTAAGGCAATGCGTGCAATCACTGCAGTCTTGGGCTTACTAGTCAGCTGTTTCCTTAACTCTAAAAAAAAGGTTCCACTCCGACATATCCAATGAGATAGGGTCAGGTGGTAGTGAAACAATAGAAAACCCATAGTGTTACCCTTAATTCATACGCTTTGAAGGTATTAGTCAATGGAGAAATGCGAGATGACTCGGAGCAACTTTTCAAGGATGTGAAAAAGAGAAAAATGGATTCTATAGAAGTGCAAATGTTTGTCGACACCTGCGGTCGGTTCTTGGAACTAATTTGCAATTCTTCATTATCTTGTCTTTATTTATTGTGCTTGGTTGTTTCTCTTGATGATGTTTTGTTTCGGAGTTTTTGCTGTTACATGCAAAAATGCTAGAACCACGGCTCTAGCTGAGCAGAAAGTCCATATGTAGCTTCCATTTGAAGAATGGATCTAAGATTAGGGAAGAATTGTATTCTGAAGTTATGTTTCTTTTTTGTTATCGTTTTTCTAGCAAATTCATTTAAAAACGTTATATTTCAGAGAACAAAGAGAATACTTGTGAATCGCAGTCGGCTACTAATTTGCACGAGGTGTCTTTCGATATAGAGGTTGGTTGGGTAATAATTGTATTTATTTATTTATTTATTTAAGTGGACATGTTCAAACAACATGTGAAGTAAACAAAAACAATAAACTTGGAACACACTTGTCACAGCACTTGTAGCAATTTTACGTGTTTTAACCTCTTTTAGAACCACTTACACTCAATTGGGCAACTTTGGAGGCCGCCAATTTTGTGATTCGTAGCGCTTGTAAAGCTTCAGCTAGGACTGGGCATCAAGCCATAGTCGCTTCGAGCAACCACGTAAGCCCATTGCTGCTGTATTTACAGGGGTGGCCAAAAGAAGAGACACATTGCCTATGGCGCATCATCAAACTTTTCGTCGCACAGGGTGCCGCTGTTGATGAAAGTTTTACGGCAAAATATCCCTTAGATGTCCTCCCATAAGTAGAAGCAGGCCCTCCTCCACTGCCCTCACCGTCCTCAAAATATGACGTCATTTTCCATCACCGTTTAGCTCAAGAAGGCCTATGATAATCGCTCCCGAAGCTGCTATGAAATTTCTTCAATCGGATTACTGGTAGATTACTTCCTAGGGACAGTAGCTCTGAATGTGCAAGACCCCTTTCGACCAGCCTTTCAGATAACGTCGCAATGGTCCATCCATTGGACCACGTTGAGCTCGCCGTGCACAAGTTTTCCATGGCAAATTCTTGTGATGTCATTAGTGCAGAAACCTGCTGTAATGTTTTTTGATAGATTGGGGTTATTATTAAGTTTGATATTAAGTTGAGTACAGTTAATTTGAGTCTAGAAAAGTGTGATTAATGCTGTCTTGTATCCCACCATGCTCTCTTACCTCCATCTGTTGCTATAACGCCTCGGCGCTTATAGCGCTTTCTGGATCTATTGTCCTGGTTCTCTCATCTGAAGGACATTTTTGAGTTCTTAGTGGGTTATTTTGTTCCGTCTTCAAATTGGTACCTACTGTTTCACACTTGAACCCATTGCCTCGTTCTTGTTTTCACGGAATATGCGCCCGAATAGTAGAAATGCATTCGCTTACTTGTTAGAGGTGTTGGCGTAGTAGTAGGTGGGCCTATGACAACAGTGGGACTTGGAATGACCTGTGGCGGTAGTAAGCAGTTCAAACGTTGCATTAAGAGTTCCCACTTCCTCTCTAGCTCCCTTTCTAACCTCTCCCTAGCGGGGGTCAGGTTCACACGTGGCTGCAGCGCATACACCAAGGTGAATCAACGTCGAGGAAATTCGATGCGCGATGATTTTGTAAACGGCATCCCTCAACTTTTCCTTCCTCTAATACAAGGCATTCAATAGGTTGCGTTTGACCCTCAAGAATAAGGTACTGATCAGAAAGAGCCAGTATCAAAGAAGTTAGGCAGCAAATTTGACTCCTGGCTATCCTGTAGAATTTCTGCAAATTTCACAAATTTTTGTGATGATTTCTAAATTTCCCCCTAAAAACCGTCGAGCTCCCGCTGTGTTCTTCCCAGTTCTCCTAGGATTCTACTACCGTTCCAAATACAACCCCTGCACTCCTACACTTCGAAGATTCTCCATGGGCTTCGGGTTTCGCTCACCCTTTCCCTGGCGCAGACTGCGTGGTTGGGTGCGATGCGTTGTTGTATCAACGACTGCCTCCCATATTTTTCATGCGGTGCAGTGCATCGCTGCACAGCAGCATCCTTGAAGCACTTTCTCTTTTTGGCTGAGTTCTGAGTTGATTTGAACTCTTTTTCAGATTCGAGCAGCAGTGCCAGCTAAGTCAAATGTTGGCTCAGCCATTAGCGCAGTTAAACATCACCTTATCAGGAATTTGACTGCAAGAGCGGGTTCGTTGGCTGTTGCCATATTTCCTTTGAATTTTCTCAATTATTCTCTGGGATTCTATGTTCTCTGAGAGCTATGTATTCCGCATTAAGAGTTGCAATACGAATCAATGGATGTAGTCGAAGAAGTCGGTGCTGCTCCATGTTCTGTGCATCAAATGCCTCGTCCTGCAACCACTGTCCTTCACACGCACCCAGCCATCTTGTTATCAGATTATTTGTTCGAGGCTGATACCGTTGAAGACGCACAAAAGAATTTTGATGAATTGCTAGGACTCAAAACCAGCATAGGTGAGTTTCTTCGCCCACTTTCGAACCTATTCAAGCATTACTCTGCCGATTGACACTTTCCGTGCTGATGCGTTGATATACTTGAAAAGTATCTGTTGCACTTTGCCCCGAACGGGTGGGTGTCATATTGGCGCAAGCAACATACTAGGAGCCGTTCTCTGCTGACCACGTGCATGTGCATTGGCATATGTCGACGATAAACATCTGTGGGTTCGATGAAGGGGTGAAAAGAAATAAATACGCCATCTCGTGTTTGATTTGAAGCGAGCGCATCAGACAGGATCCGTTCATAAAGTAGGTTAACCCTTTCGGACCTGAATTTTTCCCCGTGGAGAAATTTTTCTTCTAGCTATTGTTTATTACTTGTGAGCATATAGGTATCATTATGGCGAAATTTGGTAG